TTTTCTTTTTTTTTTTTTCTTCTCTCTCCCAGGTTGAGATCTCAAGTCTCCATAAGTGCGGAGCCCTTCCCCCCATCCTGCTCTCCCTCCGCTGGCTGGCATCGGTTCTCGCCGTTGCACTGGTGGAGCTCGGGGTCTGGGGGTGGATGTCCGGGTGGATGCCCGGGTGGCTCATTCCTGGGGGCCTCTCCGCGGGCCCCTGCCGGCCGGGGCCTTGCTGGGGCTCTTGTTTGGGGGTCGGGCGCCCATGGGGCCTCGGATCCCTGGGGCCCAGGACCGGATTCACTTCAGGGTGGCCGGCTGAGCCTGCAGACTCGTCCCCGTGGCTCCCCGGGGCGCTGGCTTGGCGGTGGCTGGGGGGCTTCCTCTGGGCTGTCTCTCCTCCTCCCTTGGTGGGGGTCTGATTTCCGGGGCTGGCCCCTCCTTGGTGCCTTCGCTCTTGGGGTCCCTTTGGGCGCCTGGGGCTTTGGGTCTCCCGGTGCTGGACTCAGTGCTCTTGGGAGGTGCGCCTCTTCGGCTCTCCACAACCACTATTGAGCATTTTTTCTATGGATAAACATTACATGCACAAGTGCACCCTCACAAACAATTACAGGTGCTTGGGTCCAGTTACTCAGAGATTCACTTCCACACAGAAACCCCACATTCATATCCTTAGGTAACACGGAGTACATGTCAGACTAAATATTATTACTTTAGCGATAGTTTCAAGGTGTTGCTTTATTGTATGTCTCGTACCATGTCTTTCGATTGTGCTGTTCTTTTTTCATCTCTTTACAGGTGATGAAGCAGACTGAAAATGTTTTGTTATTGTCTCCTTTTTATCTCCTCTTTCTTTCATCTTTTCCCTTTTTCTTTTTCCCTTTTCTTCTTCTGTTTTTCTGCTCTATTTACATTGCAGTGTCCATATGAACTGTAAAACTCCCTGCATACCGTAATTATAATAAAGCAATTTATATTCATGAAACAAGTGGAGCTATATGGCAATGGCCATACTGCTACACTTGTGAAAGTAAAATCTGTTGGGCTCTTTTTGGCATCAAGGCAATTACTCTTATTGCCACATTGCCAGACAGGACACTGTTAAAAAAAAAAAAAAAAAAGTTTATTTAACTATTGTCACCCATTCCAGGTAGGCAATAAAAAGTTCTACTGGATTCATTTTGTATTTGTCTCTTTCCTGCCTCACAAAGGTAGGCAGCAGCTTGACAAAGCTATGATTGCAATTTTTTTTACATCAAGTAGTTTGCAGTTCTTCATATACACACACACTTCAATTTCAAACTGATAGTATCGGTATCGCCAATACTGCAAAGCCAGGTAACAAGATTTAACAAGATTAATTCTGATGTTTGTACTTCCAATGGTTTAAAAGAGGTAAGGAGTTGAAAAAAATTGACATCTAGGATTTTTCATTTACAGGGCCTGGAGCTGCAGTGGCTGCTGCAGTGTCAAGTCTACTCTTACTCTGCCTGCTTTAAAAAATGAGGAAGTTGTTGCTAAACAAATGCTTATAACTCTGGCATAATAAATCATATTGAAGTCATTCTTGCACCGTTTAATTCAGGACGTGAAGGGGAAAGAAGCCGTAGGGCTTTTTTTTTTGCTCAAAATGTTTTTTGATAAGACAGCACAGTGGGAAAATTTGGGAAACTTAAAAAAATGGGGAAAAGAAATGGTGTTATATGATTAATAAATCAAAAACCATAATAGATACATTAATAAAAAAAAAGCATGTGAACACGATGATGACTTAAAAAAAAATTCGGCAAAATCAATGTAATACTTTGCTTAATAAATAAAAAAGTATGAAAGATACAGATATAAATAATTTAATATATGTATCAGCACGCGTTGGTAAGTTTCATGTTCCTACAAAAATGTATGTTGCCATGGTGACAATGTAAAATACTGGGTCATATTCAGGAACTTGATTTTGAGTAAATTACAGATTTTGTGCCCCTAAACAAACCTTTGTCCCGGCAAAACTATAAAAGATATTGACAAAAATAATTCAATGTGATTGCTAAGAGGGTATGAAGATTAAATTCCACAAGGCTCATGTTAGTACATTGCACGGTCTGAGAAAGAGAACTGTATGAAACACGTGCTGTTTGACATTCACAATCCTATTTAGGCCCCAGCAGTGACAGTGCTGTGATGGTCTACTGTAGAGGCAGCGATATGAAAAAGTGGGGTTTTGGAATTTTTTGTTCTGATTTTGAGAGAGCTCCCATTGGATTTCTATTGAGGAAGACTGGACCTTTCACCACTCAGGACCGGATTGCCGGAAAAGTGCAAATCCCACACGAATGAGGGTTAAATTTCCTTAATGCTGACAAAAATCCCTACATTTTGATGTATAATTTGTCTAGATGGAGTGAAAAAAACTTTTTGGTAGAAACATGAAAGTTTATATACTTGTTCATCAAAGCCTAACATAATTCAACACAACACAATGTTTTATCCATTTTCAAATTTTGTAAATTTCCTTCTTTTTCCCAGAATGCTTTGTCTTTCAAAAATATTTTGAACAAAAACAGCCCTAAAGCTTTGTTTTTCCAATCCGTCATGAATGAAACGGTGCAAGAATGACATCGATATGACTTATTATGCCAGAGCTATACGCATTTTTTCAGCACAAGATTGTACAGCCGATTAAGCCAGGGATAATAGGGGAGACAGTGGCTGAACAAAAGATGTTTTAAAAAAGGATGCCTCTCCCAAGCTATTTAATGTACAAACATGAAACTTGGTATGTAACAAACATCCCCAGACCCTGGAGTGGCGCTTTGTGGTCCTAGAGTGGAAATAAAAGCCATTGACTTCCATTTAAAACCAAAAATCTTTTAAAAAAATCTTTAAAAGTTTGAAGCTTCACTGAAGTAAAACTGTAAAAGATACCGAAAGCTGAGTTAAATACTAATAGCAGAAGGTTGCGGAAACGTCTTAAAAGATTAATGGTGTTTCCAGCTGAAACTATGCTTATTTAAAGGCAAATAAGATGCAGTTTTAGGGGAATTTTTTAAAAGTTTTTCATTAATTTCTATGGGCCAAAAAAGCTTAATATTTCAAATAATATTTACCGAAAAAAACGAAACAGGAAAGTGAGAATGCATTAATACTAGAAAATTCCCCAAGGAGGCCTAATGGGGATAGTGGCAAATTGCTTGTTCATGGTTGATTGCAACTGGCATCTACATGTCGAGTGGTAACCTGCGTCTCCACACCTACAGGGGACTGGCTTCACAACACATGTTGGCGACTAGCGTCGCAACACCTAGAGAGGTGACTAATGTCACAACAGCTAGTGCCGCCTGGCGTCGCCACACCTGCTGGTGACTGGTGCAGCTGGGGTAATCATAAAGATTCCTACAGTGCAAAGAATATATTATATAGGTTTTCATTTTGTAGTGGACTTGTCTTATTTTGAAGGTCAAACAAGGCTGTGTCTTTAGGATATGGTCAGACTCTGGAGAGATATGGAATCCATTTACAATTGTTGAATATTTCTAATTCATTTTAGATTAGTCTATGCTTTATTAGTGTGTATAATGAAGAGACTTTTATTTAGTAGAGTCCCTGGTGTCTTATTTTTAAAGTCTAGCAGGGCTGTGTGTTAAGGGATGGGTTTATGCCCAGCAGTGATATAGAATCAATTTCCAAAAGTTAAATCACTGGTTTTCTCTGTTATTTGGTGAATAAATGCTTTATTAAAATATAAAGAGAGAGTTTTATTTTGAAATTCACTCTGGGGTATGTTTTGAAAAGGTCCCTAGAGTCTAATAGAAACAAACTGGTAGAGTTTGGGTCATAATGCTGAGCCAATTGCATCAATTAATATATGTGTATAGTTTAGGCTTTTATTTTGCAGCCTTCCTTGATTCTTACTTTGAATGTGTAGCAGGGTTGTGTGTTAAGTAAAGGGCCACACCCAACAGTGGTATTAAATCAATTTCCAATTGTTAAATTAGTCTTTTTGCCTGTTATTAGGTGAATAAATCTGGTGGCAATGGGAAGCTTTTATTTAGAAGTTCGCTACAGAGCGTCTTTTGAATAATGGTATAACATAACATCCTTATTGTAATTCTATCATTAACCCTTTGATTGCTCATTCTGTAGTGCCTGCACTGATGCTGCCTTGTTATCTAAGGGCTGAACGGTCCACTCTGCCCACCCACTGCGTGGTGTGGGACGGCCCTTAATGTAGCGGACCCTCTGCAGGAACGGAGGGTCGTAGGGTCAGTGCTTAGGGGGCCGGGTTTTGGACTGGGCCCATCTAAAGGGTTTTAATATCATGTGCTGCTGCTGCCACCGGGTGGCAGCGCTGAGCGTTTGGTCTTTAACGTACCAAAGCAAAGCCTGGATTGAACCAGTTTATCATCTCAGAGAAAATATTATAATGTCTCCATAAGAAAACTACCTACAGATTCCTGAGCGATGCTCAGAGTGAAACTCAGAACATCAATTAAAAAAAAGATTGATCTAAAAGTAAAAAAAAAAAAAAAACTCTAATAATCAGTTAATTCAACTTTAATTTGGGCCGATAAATAAGATTATCTGTGGATGAAGGATTTGAAAAGTAATAAAGTCAATTTTTGCTAAACAGAAAATTTAAATTAAACTTGTTGGCTTGTTGAGCTTATAAAGTTTCATGAACAATGAAAATGATGAAAAACTAAACAAATATTTACGAGATTTAAAAAATGTTGTGTTTGTGTTTTTTTTTCTCTCTGTAAAAAATAATCAGACAACAGAGATAAAGGGATACACTTTCACATTAATCTGAAAATCAGAATCTGTGTTTGTTTCATTCTTTGATTTCTGTTTGTTTGTTTTAAAATGAAAAAATAGTGGGGTTGGTTATCTGTTTAATTTTTCATTTTTAATACTTTATTGTAAAAATCAAATAATGGTCTCTATGCACAGCTCCACTACTTCCTGATCTTAAATCAGCTCTTTTGTTGCCTGTATTTTTCTCCTGGATGAACTGATTAATCCAGGTGTGTCTGACCTCACTAACCATGGCCAGACACACCTGCATTAATCAGTCCATCCAGAAGAAAAAGACAGAAAACAAAAGAGCGGCAGTTCAGGTGGAGTTGTGCATAAAGGCCATTAAATCTTTATTTTGGTTTTCTGAATCCAATTCAAATAACTGGGCTGTTAAAAATTGGGATTGAGCGTCAAGGCCTGCAGTGTGAAGGTAGCCTTAGTCACCGCAGCTGGAACACTGGTGGATTGGTGCAACTGTCTTATTGCA